GGAGGAGAGGGGCAAGGGTTGAGGTTTCTGCCCCTTCTGGTCACACTGTAACCCCCCACAGTCATTTGATTCTTCCGACATATTTCCCCGTGCGCCTTAGGTCCGTATATTAGCACACAATGCCCTTCCTCGGGAGTCCACTTTGGGAGCACCACACCTTTGTGGAGGAGAGGGGCAAGGGTTGAGGTTTCTGCCCCTTCTGGTCACACTGTAACCCCCCACAGTCATTTGACTTTTCCGACATATTTCCCCGTGCGCCTTAGGTCCGTATATTAGCACACAATGCCCTTCCTCGGGAGCCCACTTTGGGAGCACTGTCACACCTTTGCTGTGCCTGGCTCACCCTTCCCCCTTCCCCTCCCTCCCCTGCACATCCCAGGTCAAGGTCTGCTCCTACTCCGGCCCTCCAGCCCCAGCACAGCCCTCCTGCTGGGCCCAGCCTCTCCTCTCCAGTTTGGTCCTCTAGGAACCCTGTGTGTGGTTCCCTTCCATGTCCCTCGGCCTGGGGCCCAGGAAGGGGTGGTGAACTGACCTGAGGAGGCAAGAGGCGGGGCTATCTGGGAGTGGGCGGGGCAGGAGGGCCTTGGCTGACCCTAGTCCTGCACTGAGGTGGCTCTTGGTAGAGACCCTCTGGAGCCCCAGTGCTATGTGATCCCTAATACACAGGGTCAAAGTTACGTCCTTAGGAGGCCTGGCCTCCTGAGTGCTCAGCCACAGGAGGGGACTTCCCGTCTGGATAATGGAGAAGCCATATCTGGGGCAGATTTATAAGACTCCAGAGGGGTGTGGGAGGGATCCAGGTGGTTCCAAGGGTGTGGCCAGGGGTAGGCCTGGCCCATGGAAAGTCATGCCACACCTACACCCACCGAGCCTCCTCCGGGGGTATGGGCACAGACTCAGGACCAGGGCTCACTCGGCCCCCTCGCCCAGGGCTGGCCACTCTGCCCACAGTTCCCCTGCACACTTGCCTTGGCCTTGCCTTGGAAGTTGAAAGTCAGTACGTATTCCCCAGGCCGAGTCTCACTCTGGCGGATCACAAAGAGGCCATGGCTCCGGGGCCCGCCTGCCAGCACCAGCTGAGCTGCCTTGACCCTGGACAGCGTCCCGTGGAACCAGGGGTAGTCGGAGAGCTCCAGCTCAGGCGCCACCTCGGGTTCTGGCTCTGCTCCCTCTTCCCCTGTAGAGGATGACAGAGTGAGGGGGTGGCAGGGGGTAAACACATGAGAGAAGAGATGCAACATCTTGTTGAGTTTTCACCTGTAAAACGCTGTTTGGATAATTTTAGAACAAGGCCAGGAGCTGACCCCACCCACTAGTTAAGCATATGAGGTCAACTGAGGCACAGAGAGGAGAAGGACTACCTGGGGCAGTCTCTCAGTCAGCAACAAATCTACTTTCCTTGTCCCTTACCCCTGGTTCTGACCCTCTGCACCCCTTCTGAGAGCATTTTCTATTGAAACCAGGGCCTGTGGGAGGTTGTGATCTGGACTGGCCTACAAACGCTAGCACTCAGCTGCTGTGCAGAGCACTAGGTGGGATGAAACGTTACAACTTCTGAGGCTCAGGAAGGCTCTGGAGGAAGGAGGGGCTAGGAGAGCAGGCTGCCCACTGCACCTGTGTTATTGCTGTCACCACCGCTGCCGCCCGGGGATTCCAGAGTCTCCAGGAAGGTCTCCAGTGGGACATGGACCAGGGACTCGCCGACGGCATCTCGAGCTCGGCTGTGCGGGGCTGTCACCACGGCTGCGGTTGTCTCTGGGGGCCGGGGCAGGTCCACTGCTGGAGAAGTGGCAGGTCAGAAGCACATCTGTCTGCCCACCCCCTCCCACCCTCCATCCACAACTCCAGCCAGCTCTGCCCCACCTACCCTCCGTGAGCAGCTCACAGCTGCAGGAGGTCATGCGGCTGGCCAGACAGCCTCCCCGGGCACAAGACAGCTCTGCGTCTTCCTCGCTGTCCCTGCGAAGGAAGAGAGCACAGCCCTGTTCTGCCATGGGATTCGGACCCTGGACAGCTCACGGAACCAGGCCGTGGCTCACCTGAGGTCCCTGTGCCTCCATGTCTCTCTGTCACACTCTCAGCTTGCTCTTTGGCTGCTATGTGTGACTGGGCCATATGAGAGAGGTCTCCAGGTGGGGACAGTCCTCCTTGAGGTCACACGACCCCTGCCTACTAACCCACAAAGGGCTGGCCTCCTCCTGGGGCCCCATGGAGTCCCACGAATGGTGGCAGGGCCTGGCAGTGGGCGGGGCCTGGAGCTGCCTTCCCTGCCTCAGGCCTTTGTCTCCCCATTGTGCCCCAGCCAGCTATAAAATACCGCAAGGCTCACCTTCACAGGGTCTGAGGAAAGAGTTTGCAGGACAGATGGTTGGAAGGGTGGCAGGGGATGGATTATAACCACTTTGGGGATCGGGGGCTTGGGTGGCACTCAGGACTTCAATTGTGCTTCCTTAAATGAAGCTGTTAATTAGAAAGCAGCAGCCCCTCCCCTCTGGGGTTCCGCTCACCCCATTAGCCAGAAGAGCTGTTGCCAAATGCTCTGCTGCTGGTCTGCCTGCCCCTCCTACTCCCGCCTCAGGATCTCTCCTGGATGGTGCAGCCAGCTGCCCTGTTGCTCTTCCTGTGCACAGCTGACCACAGCTGCCCCTTTACTGCCACCGTGGCTCCCCACTGGCCCTGACTTAACAGCTTCTCGGACTCTCATCAAAGTCCCCTCCTCACCAGCTCTAATTCTAACAACCTGAAGGCCTCGATGTTCCTGCAAGTTCCAGGCTCACACACACCTCCAGACCGTTTGCTGGGCTGTTCTCTCTGCCCTCCCCTCCCCCAGCCCCCTCTGCCTGGCTCATGGCCACTCTTTCTTTAAGCCTCTGAGATGGTGAGCACCTCTACCTGCATGCCGTATCTGAGCCCCAGGCTGGGTTAGGAACCTCTCCTCTATTCCCCCACCCCTATACCTTTGGGCTGCCCCCACCCCCCCATCACCACTGCCCTTCTCCTAGTGGTCTCAGGCTCCCCTGGGGCGAGAACAAGACTTGATCCAACTTCCTCCTAGGTCCCCAGGCCCTGGCCCTGCAGAGCAGGCCTCAAAAAACCTGCTGGGGATAGGGGTGGGGGTACGGATGAATGGTCGGCACCAACCTGGAGAGAACTGCCATGAGAAAAGTCCTTTTCTGGAGCTCAGCACCAGATAGCTACCTCCAACCTGCCCACCTGTCCTAGTGCCACTCGGGCACTCACCCAGGGTCCACGCAGCCCTGGATGTCAGCCACCCACGAGTGCTTCTGCAGCGAGTCGATGGTCTCCAGGATGTACTCTGCTCCATTCTCCACCTGGGGAAGGGGTGCCAGGAGTCCGGACAGTAGTCAGTACCCTAACCTCTGCCATTCTCACAGGGGCCTCCAGACCCCAGGACAAACGGCCCATCCTCCCCTTCCCCACGGTGGCTCACTGGTGTGAGCATCAGGGAAGACAGTGGGGTCACCATCAAGCACCACCCCAACCCGGGCCAAGGTCCTGGGGTACAGCCTCCTCCCACACTCTCAGCAGCCCTTGGGGGTGACGGGGATGATGCTCAGGTGCCCGAGATGAAGCCTCGGGAGGCCATGCTGCCTGGGGAAGGGTGGGCTGGCACCCTGGAGATGAGGTGAAAGGACCTCACAACCCTCAAGTCAGCCAAGGGGCCACTGGCTCAGCACACTGAGTTGAGGAACTCACCTGCCTCAGTGGCTGGAACTCTTCCTCTGAGGTCACACCCTGGGAAAGCAGCCTCCAAGGGGGGAAGAGGAGGGGAAAGCCCTGGCTGTGGGCCAGGCCCAGAGGGCCCTCCTGCACATTCATTAGGTGGTGAACTCTTCCCAACAGCCCTGGGAGGGAGGCAATGTGCTTCCCCTTCTCAGATGAGAAGACTGAGGTTCAGAGAGGCAGGTAACTGGCTTAGAGCCCCACCAGCACCCTGGCAGTGCTGGAATGAGAACCCAGGTCTCTATGATGCCGAGGCTGTGTGCTCTCAGCTTCCTGTGTGCCTCAGTGACAACGCATCCCAGAGCTGGGAGGGTCCTTTTCTGAATAGACGGGGACACGGAGGCCCAGAGTGGGGCTGAGCACAGTCGGCAGCACAGAGGCCACTCCGCTGTTGGGAGCGATGCTCTGGACCCGTCTCACCCAGCAGATGGGAATGCCATGCGGGCAGGGGCTGTATCCTCAGCCCCCAGCCTGAGGTGACTCAGGCTATGGGGTTGGCAAATGTTTGCTAAGTGAATAAGGGAGTTCGTGACTGAACAAACAGGGGAGAACAAAAGCAGAAACCCAACCAGGAGCCTGGAGAAGAGGGTGGGGGCTCCATGCAGCTTGGGGTGGGTGGAACCAGGTCTCCAAACATCCTTTACTCCTCTGAGGAGGCACAGGGCACAGCCCTGGCAGCCTGGAGCCCTGTCCTCAGCGACCCGAGCAGGCTACCCCAGTGACATGGGTCCTGGGGAAAGGACGCACGGCACCCAGCCCACTGGGGTGCCTCCCTGCCCACCTTTGGTGCCTCTGTGGGACCATGTGCTCTGTGACAGGGGCATTTGTGAAACTGCTGCAGTCTGGCTACCCGTTTGCCTGCCCACGGGGTGGGTATGTGCTGGCTCCAGTGTGTGTGTGTGGGGGGGGCAGGCGGTGGGAGGAAGTGAAACTCAGAGGAGCTTCCCGGGGGCCCAGAAGGAAATAAGAACAGGGGGCCCCAGATGGTGGGTGACACCCAAGGCGCTTGGTTCTAAAGCCCGGGCCTAGATTCAAATCGCTGCGAGGCGCCTGACATCTGTGTAGGGTCCTAAGACCCACCCAACTGGGACCCCTCCCCCTGCAGTGGCCACAAGCTGAGCCGCCATGAGGGAGGAAGTCTGGGGCAGCCAGAGGACCCACAGGGCTAAGGGTGAGACTCACCTTGAGCACAAACGTGTTGTCCTTCTCGGGCATCTCCAGGGGCATGGTGGTACGGACCTCGATGATGGCTGAGAGGGGGATGCTGACCTTGGGCCTGGAGGCCTGGGACGCCAGAGGAAGGGGCAGTGAGAGTCACCACAGGGCCTTCTGAACCCTCTCTACCCTGCCCACTTCCCAGATGGCAGAGCAGCCCCCCGCTTAGGATGCCATAACAGCAGTGGCACGAAGGTGTTCCGATCCCCATTTCACAGACAGGTAAGTTGAGGGAGTCTCTGGGAAACAAAGGGACCTCCTCATATAGTCACAGAGCAAGTGAGGGGCAGGGCTGGGACTGACATCGGAGTCTCCCGCCTGTGAGCCCTGCAGGGTGGACTGTGCCTGGGCTGCCCTTCTGCCCGCTGCACCGCCAGGTCTGTGGTTTTCACGTTTTTTACCTTGACTCATAGTAAGAAATACATTTGACATTGTGACCCAGTACACACACAGGTAAGAATACCTCTGAAATGAATGTTTCGGCAGACACTATTTACCCTGACTGTGTGATGGAGTGTGGTATTTTCTATTTTATTCTAGTTCATTTAAAAATAACACAGGTCTCCTCCTTCAAATTAGACTTCCCAGAGCACAGCTCTGGAGCCCGACTCAGACAGGGTTCCTGGAACTGGGCAGGGCCGTACCTTCCGGGGGAGGAAAAGGGACCCGTGTAGGGTTCAACCAAGGTGAGCTGGCAGGACTCCCGGGGAGGGCTACTGTGCCTGGCCCTCCCTACTTTGCCCCAAAGCTCCTGGCCATGACCCGAAAGCCCCCTGTGGTGGCTTGAGGCAGATTCCTGGCAGGGCTTGGGCTCTGGGACAGGGACTTTCTCAGGAGGAAAGGGCAGGACCATATGTTGGGGGGGTGGGGGGGAGGCAGGCAAATGGGAATTCCTGGCAGCACTGGCTACCATCCAGCGGGTGCAGGGCTGGGCTTGGAGTGGTGATGGAGGGGCTCAGCTGACCATGGCAGGCCACTGCGCCAGCCACTGGGGTAGGGGCCACCGGAGTGCATAGAACAGACAGAGGTCCGCAGCGAAGGCCTGGACTGGCGACCTCGGCTGGGCTCCTGCTGGCAGGAGGTCCTCATTCCTCCGCCTGACATTTGAGGCCTGTCTGTCCTGGCCCAGATGCCTTGCCCCCTGTTCTCTGGACAGAGCCATAGGCTGTTTCATGACTGCAGACCATCCCTTATTTATAGCTCGTGCCTCTGGAAAATGCCTGTCCTGGGGCCCTGCCGCTTGGGGAGCACTTATGCAGCCTGAGCTTCAGCACCTTGGGGCCCCTGGAGCACCCAGTGCTCACCACTGAGGTTTACCATCCAGTCCTGCAAATACTGGTCTCCTGGTGGCTCCGCAATGGCAGGGGCCAGCCTTGCACCGGGCTCTGAGGGGAGGGAGGCCAGAGGCCCGATTCATGGGGCTGTGTGAGAGGAAAGTCGTAGAGTCCCAGGAAACAGCCCCCCAGCATGAGCTCCTGTCCGCTCCAGGGGTGCAGCTAGGCCTCCAGGACTAAAAGACAGTGGGGCTTATCAGCAGGGTCTCCCTGGGGCATACATTTGGGAAACGGGACTTGAGCCCTTACCATGGTATGATCCACCTTTCTACCAGCTGAATTCCCAAACATTTGCATGAAAAACAAAGGGTTGGCCCGGCTGGCATAGCTCAGCGGTTGAGCATCGACCTATGAACCAGGAGGTCACAGTTCGATTTCTGGTCAGGGCACATGCCCGGGTTGGGGACTCGATCCCCAGTGTGGGGTGTGCAGGAGACAGCTGATCAATGATTCTCTCTCATCATTGATGTTTCTATCTCTCTCTCCCTCTCTAAAGTAAAAATACACCTCTCCCCCCAAAACAAAGGGTTGGGGGGCGGGAGGAAACCGCCTGCCTTCCTCAGGGGTGGGGAAGTGACCCTGCCCTCTGCAGTGGTGGGCAGTGGGCTTAGTGGGACAGCCAAGGTGCCAGCTGCTGCACCCCCCCCCCCCCCCCCCCCACCTCCAAGGCAGCATTTGCTGGGATTGACAGCAGGGCAGCTGTGCCTGCCACTCAGGGCCTCTGCCTCTGCCCTTTGGGTGACCCTGAGCAAGCCCCACCTCATTCCCCACCCTCTCTGGGCCTGGGGTTGTGAGTGTGTCCCGGGACTTGGGAAGAAAGCTCTTCAGACTGAGGATGCCCCTGGGTAGTCCAGACCCTGTCCCTCCAATGGAGCCCACGGCTCCGACAACCTGGGAGATGGGGACAGAGGCGAGACGCAGTGACTACAGGCACTGAGGACAGAGTGGGCGAGGCCGGTGGCAGCCCCGGGTGGCTCTTGGGGGTGCCACCACCTTCCTGAACCTCCCAGTGCACACGGTGCTCTCACCTCCCCGCTCTGTTCATTTCGGGGACCACCAGGTGGTGGGCATAGGTCGCCCAGCGCTGCCACCACAAGCTATGTGCTTTGGGGGGGCCACCTCCACCCCCTGGCCCCCGATATTCATTTGTTTTCTCTTCTGTGACCCTGAGACCATGGGGCCCACCCTGTGGAGTGCAGGGAGGATGAGGCTGCCCACCCGCTGGGCACAGGGTGGGCTCTCAGGAATGGGCACTATGTTACCGGCATTGCCCCTTTCTGAGCACGGCAGGTCTGCCACCTGGAGAAGACCCCAGGCTGTGCCCAGGGCGCTTTTGGGGAGCCCCCTAGAGAGGGTACGGGGAAAGAGCACTCGGTTGAGCAGCAATGGAGGCAGCAGCTGGAGCTAAGCCTTTGAAACCTGAGGCCACAGAAGGGCCACCGGGCAGGGGCTGAGCCACAGCCCAGCGGCCGGCCTGGGGCCCACAGGTTCCCACCAGGACAGAGGCGGCCCTTCCGTCCTCAGGCTCCTCCCTGGGAGGCTCCCGCCACCCAGGGTCCCAGGGAAGGAAGAGGGCAGGGCGCCCGGGGTCCCAGCAGCACGAAGCACAGCACCCAGCGCCTGTCCTGCAGCGGGAGAGCCCCTCGGACATCTCACAGGCGCAGAGGCCTGGGGGGTGCCGTGTG